TCAGATGGGTTCTATATCTCCTCCAATAACGTAAGCATCTACTTTCGAGGGACTTCTCATTGAGTAGATAAGAAAATAGGAGGTCATTCCAATAAGTTATTCCAAGAGTTCTTTTCAAACAGGTGAAATAGAAATGACCGAGATCATCTCTCTGACAATCAGTAAATAGGGGGAATATACTGAATAGCCACGTGAATAGGGGAAGAATATAAGTGGAGAAAAGAACCTTACGAAATTCGAAGGAGGAAGAACCGTGTAAGCGACAAGATTTCACAATTGCTACTCTTTGTTTTATTTTGCTCTTATACACGGTGATCATTTTGCTCCATCCTAATTTACAGGAAATGTGGTAACCTAGGTAACGGAAGCTATTTACCCACGCAATTTTATGATCACCCATGGATATGTCGAACTTGGGGTTCCCAATGGCACGAGCTGACCATAAAAGTTCAGTTTTATCATAATTGATTGGTTGGAGGGATAAAATGGAATAGTATTCGAGATAGTCGACTAACTTTTTAAGCTTAACTTCGAGGTCTAGGCACTGGGTGGTGTATTTGGCACCCAACATACCACCCACTACACATGCTAGATCATCTGCAAAAAAGTTAGGAAGGGTACTTTCCAGGAAGGTCCACATATCTGAATGATATGTGATGAAAATCGCAGGAGTTAAACATGAACCTTGGGGGCCTCCTCTACAAATGGGGAAATACCTAGATCGTTTATTATCAAGCTCGATGAAACCGAACCTGCCCTTTAACCAGCTATCAATCCAATTCACATACGAAATCGGTATGCCGAGACGTGTTAATTTGCCTAGACAACCAGCCCACCATAGCTGGTCGAAGGCTTGACGGAAATCCACAAACAATGTTGCAACAGGTGCACTCGTACACATTAGTGAAGCGATTTGATCGATCAAATTGAGTACTCGTGATTGTAATCTGAAATTTGATCGGAATCCCGATTGAGAATCATGCAGTAGACCTCTATCTTTAAGAACACATTGAAAACGGCTTAGGAATAGCCGCTCCAAGATTTTCAGAAAAATATCTAGCAATGATATCGGGCGAGTATCCTTGACTGCGCAGATCGATTCTTTTTTTGCTAGGAGTTTCATTTTGACATGTTTCCAATAGGAAGGAGTAGAAAAGCTAACGAATGAATCATTGAATATTTGTAGTAGAGGTTTCATGTATATATTCGGAATATATTGAAGCATAAATGAAGATACTCCATGTGCATCAATCGAGTGCTTTTTCTTTACTTTCGACGTAACTTTTAAAAGTTCAGACATAGAGATTGGAGGTATCGGTTCATAATAATTATCCCAACGGCAGTCAGGACTATCAACATAGGGGTGTGGACGATAGACATGAGATTGAGAAAAGAGATTCTCATAATGTGAAGCAGCTAATTCTAACATAGCATCAACATCTTTAACGACCACGTTGTTGGAATCAATAAAGGCATCGAGAGAGCTAGTCGTTTTAAAATTTTTTCTCAGTCTAGACCAAAAAAGATTAGCGGATGAAGACGACGAAAATCTTTCTTTTAATGTGTTGGATAGTTTGGTGCAACGTACAGCAGCTAGTTCTATTCTATTAAGTCTCCTAAATTCTTTAATTTTCGCATGCAGTAGTACGTCACCAGTTCTTTTGTGCTGAAATGATAAAGCTCGCACAAAGGATAATTTCTGCCTAAGTTCTTTTGGAATAGCTATTCGATATTTCTTTATCGGAAAATATGTAGTACATCGGGCTTTTAAACAATCTAGGAGTGTAATAAAGTTTGTGTAATACTCTTCTGGTGGAGATATTCTACTTTCATTCTCCCAAAATTCTGAAGTGAGTGCGAGAAAATAGTGGAAAACTTTCCAGTGTGTGTTAATACCTAACGTATTCTCTTTATTTTCACACTCCAGTACCGCTACTAGAGGCTTGTGATCACTAGTTGTATTATCCGTACAAGCCTGTATTGAAAGTGGGATACCACGCGTAAACGCATAGTCAATGGTACGATCGGAACGAAGAGACGTGGGTATATTTGGTGTAATTGGAGTAAGAGCACGAGATAAAGACCAATCAAGAAGATTCTTAGCTGCTAATTCATCGGCTTTGCTATCTAGGTCGATATTAAAATCACCAAACAGACTGCAGGAGTCGGTGATGTAGTTGGACAGGATATTCCAATCCCAGGATTTGCTCTTAGGGGCATAAATTCCAATCAGACGAATAGGTTGTTCGAGTTTGACGTCTAATACGCATATGTTCGGGGTATCGCAACCAACACGTACTACTGGCAGACTCATTTTAAATAGCATTAAAACTCCACCCCACGCATTCTCACCCTTTTGATAGAAGGATTTGAAATTAACGAAAATTTGGTTTACTAAGGGGAGATGAAAAGCACCTACTTCTAATAGGATAACACAATCTATTTTATATTTTTCCAGCAGAAGAAGGACCTCTTCCCACCTTTCGTCCAATCCCCTAACATTAAAAAGAAGTACACGTAATTGCGAAGAGAGTGCGTGGGTATGTAGTTGATAAGAAGACTTCCAGGAAGAAAAACAAGAAGAAAGAGTAGGAAAGGAAAACCATTCATAACAAATTTCAGTTAATAAACTAAAGTTAAATTTAGATAACAACGGAGAAGTCAATGAAAGAGCATAATCAATATCAAAAGTTTTTTTATTTACATGTTGTGGTGGAGTAAACACACGTGCGGAAGGGGATAGAACAGATGAAGAAGTAGAATCGGTTATAGATTCGATGAAGGGGGATGGGTTTTCTTGTCAGTTGATGGGTCAGAAGGGTGTTGGGTTTTCCGATTAAGATCATTGATAAGCTTAGATTTGATCTGCTCGTTTTGCAAAAATCTATTTGTCCAACCAGGTAAATCATTAGCAAGTTTAGAACATAAACCAGCAAGTGAAGAACAAAATAGAGTTTTGTCGTTTAAGACATTTTGTTTTACAAGAGTAGGAAGTACTTCCACCATTACTTGACATAACGGCGAAACAAACTGGTTTACAAAATCACGTTGAAAAGATGTATCAATTTGTTGTAAATGTAAATCGTGAGTGTGATTCATAACCACCTGCTGTAAACCAATAAGTTGATCAGAATAATTATTATTTAAATCCAATAATTTATTTAGATTTTCTTCAATTTTATTCATTTTGAAAGAGAGTTCTTCAATTTTTTTACCAGCATCGCTGGCTATGTTATTAACTGAATAATGATGATGATTAGTAAAATCTTTAGCTTTTAAGACAGGATAATCATTATTATTAAACCAATAATTTGTTTGATTTGTTTGATTCTGTTGTGGATGATTATTAACGCCAGCTGTAGTAAGAAAGGATTTCGTAAGTGCAGATCTATAGGTTGTAATAATAGGGCATCTCATATCATTTGCATCATGTTCACCTTTACATCTTAAACAATTTAATTTTTTATCACAATTTAGTTTATGTTGATTAAGATCGTCAACACCAGCACCACAAAATTTGCAAAAATCTAAAGGATTTTTACATGAGCTCCTAAAGTGCCCTACCTGAAAACATTTGGAGCAAATCAAAACCTTGGCAGGTGCAAGGTATTCAGTAATTGCAAAACGCATATTATCAACATATAAGAATTTTTTGTTGAGCAAATCGTTTATAACATTTATATTTTTAATATCAAGTCTAACCAAAGTAATCGGAAGTTTATTCTTGTTACTAATTCGAAATGCATTAATAACATCAGGATAGTCGTTTTGTATAGAAGCTAATAATGCAGAAACATCAAGATGAGTTGGTACACTTCGAAGTAAAATAGAAAATTGAGCAGGTAAATGATTAGGTAAAATTTTTTCATATGTAAGTGATTCAATTGTTGCAGGCCAATTATGTTCGTTGAATAAGATCAAAAATGTATCACGATCATTAGGAAATAATAACAAATCTCGTTTACCTTTAAGTCGATGACCAGCCAATTTCAAATTGAAATCATAATTGGTGAAGTAATGAGAAGAAATAAATTTAATAATACGTTTTTCATCAACATCTTGGTTGAATTTCACGATGAAAGGAGGAAAAGCAAATCTTGTTTCAGCGAAACGACGAGCTTCATGTGTTATTTCAATAGAATTTCCAACCACACTAACTTCACCATTGTTACCTGTTTTAATTCGTATACGAATTGGATTAGGTGCAGGAACATTTGAGATAATACTATTGGTGTTGGTTGATGAAGTTGAGTTAGCAGTATTAACTGATGAAGAAGATGAAGATGAACAAGATGAAGGTGTTTCAGTGAGTACACGATCAATTTTTGCTTTCTTTTTTTTTCTCTTTACTAAGGTGAAATGATTTTCATTGTCACTTTCCAATGGTGTAACATTATGATGAGATTGTTGGTGATGATTAATTTGGTGATGAGTCATGTTCGTGTTAGCTGGATGAGATAGAAAAGATGTCGCTGAGTGTTGGTCATGTTCAGTGACATTCATTGGCATTGGTAGATGATGATGGTTGGTTGTAAAACCAGGATAATTGAACAGTGGTTGATGAATGGTGGTGTTAATCATATTCGATGAATATGTTGCATCGGTAACCGTCATACCAGAATGAGGTATGGCAGGTTGATGTAAAAAAACATGGTGTTGTTGTTGATTTCGAAGATCAGAAGAGTTAACTGAAGAGTTGAAAGAACGTTGATCCTGTGTCGTTGCGTTGTTGATAGGGGGAGGTTGGGTAGTTGGGGCATTGGTTATGCTGCCGAGCATATCGGCAGCTAAAGGTTAATAGTAGGAATGATGCTGAACAAGGGAGAGTGATGTAAACAAATTAAAGTTTAAGTACGAATACAACGTTATTATATAGGATATATAAGAATGTATACGTAAGAAAAAAAAAAAAAAAAGAATACGTCTTATCTGTGTATGTGTAGCAAGAGGAGTGACGAATGACTTTTTCTATTGTTATTAATGCTGTTGATCTGAATCACATGAATCATTCAACCCTCTTCACTGACTATCGTCATGTTGATGTTCATTATGCATTTATTTTCGATGATAATCGATCACATAGTGAACTTAGCAAATTTGTACCATATGGTAGTCAATCTCATCCGCGAGAAATAGCTAGTGGAACGTTTATTTCTGAATGTTGGCCTGATAGTCAACCATTCACAACTCCTGGTGAAAATTATGTAAGTTATAATCCTTTGTATAACTTTCATTGCTCATTTCAACAATAAACTGTTTTTTGATTGAATTTGACTGATTTCTTTTTAGGGAAAAAAACCGAAAAATCGACAACACCTATTTTACACATTGCCATGGACCTTTAATGAATTTCAATTATGTGTTCCAGATAGATGTATTAGTGAATTACAAGTATTTACATCATTTTCACCGGGAAATAAAACTTTTTCTTCTCGTCTTCGTAAGCTGAATATGTCAGATAATATTTCAACATCTGCTAGTCTTCTCTCTTATGTAATATCTTCAAATCAAATAGTCGAGCTTTGTCTATCCAGATGTGATAGGCAAGTTTCTTTCAATTTACCAATGGTTAGTCATCTTACTCTTATCGATAGTCTTGATGCATTGAATACTCATTCACTCTTAACAAATGTTCGATCTATTCAAATTGTTTTTCATCATGAATGTCTCGATTTTGCAATTGGTGACTGGACTTCTTTACGTACACTGGCAGATTTGCCGCTGTTAAACTCCTTACGTGTGGTTTTGTATAATATGCTGAGCCCACCAAATAATTCAAGCTGCATAATTATTGCAGAGACAGGTTTAAAGATCACTGATTTTGGCTTTTGCTTTCGACATTTTCGTTATTATTCTGTTGAACATGATTATGATATTAATTTGATTTTTATGAAACATTGTTTATTCATTGAACGTCTACGAAATCTCATTGTTACTATGTCAGTGAATAAACAGCGATATATCGTCGTTGATGAAGATGGTTCTGGAATTTTCGTATGGTTTTGATTAACAAATAAAAAACAAAATTATTGGGTTTAGTAATCACACTTATAATATCTTCAGTTCTATTCATATTCATAAATCGTCAACTTGTAAAAAACAGTTCATTATCAAAAAATGTAATTCAGTCTTTTTTTGTCCTAAGTGTTTCTTTGAGATTTTGCAATGACAATAAAATTTGTAAAAGAAGCGAAAGTGAAATAATAATAAAATAATATAGTGTAAAAAAATTAAATTATAATCATTCTTTGCGATAATCCTAGGAAAAAGAGGATAAGCAAAATTCATCATCAAGAGAATTTAAGAGTTCTGTTATGAACTTATTCACATTACTACGAGTAATCAAAAGGTATTATTAGGAGATAATGGGATTCGGTGTATTAGAATTCAGATAATATTTGATCTGATTTAACAGTAAAATTATTTAGTGAATAAGTATCATGACAGATTGATTGAGATTTAAAAGGGAAAAAGATATCGAAATAACTTTCGATACACATGATTTAAAACAGTTAGCATTGGCGGTACACTTAATTCGTATGATGCCTTAAAAGAGTTTATCAACGAATAGTTAGGGGGGATAACAATAACTTAGACTAGTTAAATTCATAAGCTACTTTATTTGATACTCAATCAGTAAATATTAAAGATAGTTTTCCAAAATCTGCATCACCACAATCACAAAAACAAGCAAATAGTGAGTCTACTTATTCTCAAGCTAACACAATAATCGTAGAGTAGTTTATTGTCTTTTTGGATCAAGATTTTCATTTTCTGATATAATATCAATCAACAGTAAAAATTGATCTTATGATGCAAGATCAAACTTCAATAGTGAATCTAATTGAAATATGTTAGAATAACAACATAAGGTAATGTTGATTATAAAGATGATATTTTTAAGGAAGTTTTGTTTAAACCCCCTCCTCTCAAAACCGATCTCAGGGTCAATTATGCTACAATCGCATCAAATTTTCAGTATATGTTGAGGCCATAATGAGGAGGCTATGATAAGATTTTCAGCCCTATACCATATAGTTTGAGGGTGAGATCTATCAAACAAAGGTTAAAAATAGTTCATTTTTGCTGCAAGAATTCTGTGAATATTTATTGAAAAATATGTTTTTTGTTGGAAAGAGTATGCCAAGATGCAGGGCCTGTGCGGCTCCTTTTTTTAAACTCTTACCTATCAATAGGAGAAAAGGATTGACAAGTTTATTCAATAGAAAAACTCAAAAAATGGTGCTCAAATTATAAAAATGCTTTTGAATATACTAATAGTAAAGTTCCATTCAAAAAACGGAGCTTCAAAGGATTTGCTGCTCTTGATGCTCTTTCAAACAAAAAGAAACATACTAGACTTATATAGTACTGTGGTAGAATGCTAGTGTAACTACGGAAAGTCTTAGGCGTAAAAAAAGACATAGTGAAATTTAGTAAAATTCCTATATCGCTAAGCAAAGTACAAGGAATGAAGCTGAAATAATTAGTAATACGAGGATGATGCATACTGAGTACGCCCTGAAATTTTCAGTCATATACGCTGTATTATGGCGAAACATGTTTTTAACAAGGTGACGAAGTGAAAAATTAATTAGTGAGTTTGTTTTGAGGGGCCTTAAATGGTCAAAATCCGTAAGAAAAATAAATTCAAATATATATAATTGGTTGTAGATTATATGTACCGGAACATTCATGTCGAAGAAATAGTTTGACTGATTATATGCAGACAGTAGATAATGACGATTCACTTTTATTTTGACATCATGGTATTAGAACTGCTTTTGATAGTTTATAACGAGGAAAAATGTTAGTTTATTCAACAACCAATAATAATAAAATGATGAAGCATTTTTTTTTTAAATTTAATTGTTTTCATGAATTATTAAAACTATTTTTGGTCAACATCTTGTAATATTTTTTCTGGAAATATTGCTCGTAAATTAGTGCGTACACATCGAGACAAACTTTATATGATAATTCAGCTATTCAAAAATCTGTTTCAGTTATTGTTTACGTTCATTTGATTAAGAATTTATTCCAACAACAAATCATAAAGTATAAATGTATTTAGGCAAAGAAAAAATTCATAATAAACAAAATGATATATTTGATTATCATTTATTTGCTCGTTCAATAAATCGTCATTCGGATTTAGTAACTAAAGAAGCTAGTGATGAATATTTACAAAATGAAGCTTAACATATATTACTTGACGCCAGGGCTGGCCCGAGTCAGCAAACATTGGGGGGTTGTCGCGATATTTTGTGGGGTTGTTTCGGATATTTTTAATGCGAATAAAACTTTTTTCTAACACGACTCACGAAAAAAAATTCAGTTTTGCTGGGTAAAAACGAAAATTTTCGATTATTGGGGGGGTTGTCACAACCCCCAAAACCCCCTATCGGGCCAGCCCTGCTTGACGCTATGAATGAATTAGAATTAGTAGTTGCACATCCACTCCCAAATAAAACAGATCGTAATCATGTATTGATATTTTTTAACCAACCGTTTCTATTGAACCAATAAATCTTGAAGAGTGTTCGTCGTAGGGATGCAACAGTGACGATCATTCACCGGTTAACCGTAGGTACGGTTACTGTAGTGGGACCGATAACCGTACCTACGGTTATCATCACCGTTGCATCCCTAGTTCGTCGTATCAGACTTCGATATGGTATGCCATCAAGGATTTATTAATTTTTGCTTTTTGAAAACATATTCTATTATTTAAAGGTATTGTTTTATAGAAACTTTTTATTGTTCAAGCTGTATGAAAAATGACAATACGATTAACCTCAGATTCTGAACCAATGTAATTTCGAGTATTTCTGACATATAAAAATGGTTATCATCTTGATATATCATTGCTTTCAGATGTAGCCAATTAATTTTTTTTTTGATCGCATACCACTGTCGTCTATACACATCATCTATATTTTTAATATATTTCTTTTCTTTTTTTCTCATTAATTTCTTTCGTTGGTTGTTTTTTTCCACCAATATATTTTCTTTCCTGTTCTGTCATACGTCTAAAGTAAACTAGTACCCGAGACTATTCGACAATTGTCTTTTTTTTCTTTTAGATTTACAATCTGAAGGAAAAACGAATGCATAAAACATACTGTTACTAAGGAAGTTTGATTCTTATTACTTTTCAATTTCAGTGACAACTATTGAACGAGAAAATTTAACCAATCAACAAATAAAAGAGAAATATTTAACACAAAAAATATTCGTTTTGACTTCCACTATATGAAATTTGGTGTTTATTACGTATAAATACTTAATTTAATTTAACATTTTATGATTGTATTCAATCAACATTAGAAATTTCTAGTATACTTTGTGGTTTAAATGCAACCGATACAGATTATTATTAAGTATTTGGGTGTCCTTTTTAGCCAAATATTACGTATTATCATAAAGTTCATATACGAAGTTTAATATGTAAATTTATTTATTTATTTATTTTTTATTATAGGAATAAAACATTCCTCATCGTATTGGTAAGTAATAAAAAATTGTTATTTTTGTTTTATCTTTAAAGAATGGAGATAAATTTGCTAATTAAACCAGCCCTATTTGAAAACTAAAAGAAAATATTACTCATCGTATTAAGTTTTTAAAATGAGAGGTGTACTCTTTCGAAATATCGCTTCGTTCTTTTTGACCGCGATTGCCGAATGTTTTTAAGTGTGGATTGGACTAACAATTCGGCAGAAAGTCGTTTAATGATTTTCTGGGAAATACTAAACAGAAAATGTCATAAGTGTAGAGTTTATGCGAGATTATTCTGACAAAGTTTTTATATTTGACTTTTTTCTGAAAAAAAAAAGAATAAAGAGCTCTTAAAATCTAATTTTCTTTCAGAATTCATCATGAGATTATTAAAATTTCGCACAAAGTATTGAAGGGTTTGATAGAAAGTCGAAACAGGTTTTTATTTTGTTGGCTATGGAACACCCTCGCCATTGCCCTTAATCGGCAATCCTGGAGCAGAGAGAGGCTGTTCCTCTGAAAATTTCAGGCTTTCTACGGAATTTTTAGAGTTCAATACACTAAAAACCTTCAACATTTGCCTGAATAAAATCAAAGTAGACATTCTTTTTATCAAATTCTTTCCAGAAAATAGATACAATTTCTGTCAGGTCTCGCAGAAAAATCGACCGTGATCACATGGACTCTCTTCTAAAGTCTTAGGCTACCTCGTGCTTCAAAAACCAATTAGAAGCTCTATTATTGACAATAAATGTATGTAATGATTCAATGATATACACGATCGAAAAGAATTATCTATTGTAGACGACAGCATCATAAATAGAACGGATCTGATCAGTCGTCTAGTAAAAACAAATCTACTAACATTTACAAATATATGAATAACTGATTAATTGAACAAAAAGTACAGCCTCGAAGTATTCACCGTTATTTTTAGAGTTTCTATCATATTTCAGTCAGTCATTTCATGCATTTGATGAAAAGAGATATATTTTGTAGATGAAAGACAGTTGTATTAATATAGCTTTTATATGAGTTGATCAGTCTGCCAGTAAACCAGTTGGTCTAGAATGCAGATTGATATTGGATCAGTCGGTCCCATCGATGGAAAGTATATCACGATGCTTTTGCTTAGCATAACTGGCCTTCAATCTGTTATTTAGTAAACAACCCATTACACTATCTCATACAACAGCTAAGACTTCTCTCTCGATTTTGTATATCGTTATATCAGTCTGAAAGCCAACTCCGCATAAAGATAAAATAGTATTACCTTCGAAGCTATATATGATGAGTAATATTTTCTTTTTTAGCTTTCAAATAAGAACAAATTTCCTAGAAAATATACCTCTACTGTTTGAATTCTGTATATGAAATAGTGCTGGCTTTGATTGGTTTGCGACTGAATATTTACAAGAATTACGACGACGCCTTGGTCATTATACTTTGAGTAAGATATTGAGAAAAAAAATTTTATTTATTATTATTAATTGATCGTCTGTTTTGTTAGCACTTAATTGTAATCCAGAAACTGTTAATACTAATTATAATATAAGTCATCGATTATATTTTGAAGAAATTTCATTTGAATCTGTTCTTGATGTTTATAATTTTGAAAAACCACATGGCATTATACTTTCAGTGGATAGACAATTACTAAATAGTATTGCAATGGATTTATATCGACAAAGCCATGTTAATGTTCCTAGTAGAATAAATATTGTTTACAAAAATGTATTTTTTTAAAAGATATTTATTATTTTATTTTTCTAAAGGGTACACTTCCAGAATGTATTGGTACAGCTGAAAATCATTTTAAGTTTTCACGTTCACTTGCTGAAATAAATATACGACAACAAAAAATGGTAAGAATTATCAAATTTTGATAGTGTTTTGTGATTTTATAATTCAATTGGTTATTCATGTCTTGTATGTCCAACATATGTTTTATTTGGTGCAGGGATGAGAATTGGTTTTTGTGCTAAAGGTTTAAAAATATATTTAAGTAAACATGGTCTATTTAAAGAACGTTCTGTTATTATATCAAAATTTATTTTGTATGCTAAAACATCAGATATTGATACTGTGGTATGCCATGATGAAGTTGTGAGAACGATACATAAAATTAAATTTTTTATTTAACCAATTAAAAAAAGCAAAATATAAGAAAATCTTTTTTTTTTGGCTATACAAGAATATGTTGAAAATGTTGGTGTTAATTCCGATAATCTTACTTTAGTAACAGCACCACAAGATCTTAATGAAAATAAAATTGAAAAGATTCAATTTATCTGTTTTTCAGTTTCTAAAGCATTACAAATATCCGAACCATTTAATTTACAATTAATTGCTGAAGTTTGTTGTTCTTTGTTTCTCTTTGACTAAAAACAAAAATAAACATTAATTTAATATACATATTATTGTCTATATGATAATAAATTAAAAGTAAATGAATGTAATATACGTGTATCTCGTTCATTTCCATTAGTTTCTAAAACATTTGATCATGATTTTATTGCTGTTGTTATGCAAATTCTTGTTGGTATTGAATCAGAACCAATAACTAAGGTTCTTTTTCTTCATTCAGTACGTATTGGTGTTAAAGTTCTGCAATTTTCATTTTCACGTTTATCAGGTAAAAAATTGAATAATTTATTATCTATTAGTTAAGAAGAAAGTTCCATTCCTTAGAAAATAGTTTTTTATTGTTTTTAAAAAATATCGAGAGTTGAATTTTTATCATAGCAAGATGCAGCAGCGAAACTTGCTCTTTTAGAATACATGTGGCTTTTCGCAAAACGATCGGATTCTCAAAGGCTTATGAGAGGAAAATTCGACTCTACTATCATGTTTTTTTGAAGTATTTTTGTTTTGGAAAATTTTATTATTACTAGGATCAATTTTGAAAGAACATTTTTATATCAGCCTCCATGACAGATGAGAGTGGCCATCTCTATCCGTTACATGAGTTGAAACATTTCATTGAAATGTATTAATAAAAATGCTATTGTAATGTTGTTTTGTTTTTTTAATTTCCAGGAAAAAAAGTGAAATAATCTCTACTGCTTATGAGTACAATTTATGTTCTTTTTATTATTTTAAAGATCTGAATCGAGGCTAATTTTTTATCTATTAGTTAAGAAGAAAGTTCCATTCCTTAGAAAATAGTTTTTTATTGTTTTTAAAATAATAAAAAGAAAATAAATTGNAACGAAAGAAATGTTAGTCATTAATTCTAATAGTAGCAGTCGAGTCTATTTGTAACAAAACCTATAATAATCTCAAAACTGTTGAATTTTGTTGTATATTTTTTAAAATTTATGTTACTATTGTGTTTTTGAAACACTTTTAACAAACTTTATATCCTTATTTATTTCAAAAATGTATACTGGTATATTCTTATAAAATGAATCTGCTGAAGATATTCAATTCATTCATGACAAGAATGAATTAAAGGAGAAATAAACTTCTACAACATCTGTCAGTATGAATCTAACTAGACTGCACGATAATTATGAAGTCACCTAGTGAGGACAATTACGAAAAGTTGATAAAAATATAAGTAATACGGGCTTCACTAATTAGTTTTTTCTATTCTGTTATGCTAGTAGATGTTTCCATTAATTCTTATTCGTTCGTTCGCAACTTAGAAAAACTATTAATCAACTTGAATATATTCTCATTATTCATATGATATTCTTTGCCCTTAGTCATTAAGGATTTCTTTTGTAAAACACATAATATCTAAGAAGTTAAGATAATTAATTATGAACCCTTGAACAGATGTTGTTTCGTCTTCCTATCGTTTATCGAATTTCCATCAATGAAACTAGACCAAAAAAAATGTGTCATCTATGATAATTATTTATTTCATAGCTACCATTGGTCATATTCAAAAATACACATTTATGACAGAAACTTTGATTGGGTGAGAAAGATTAGCATTCCTTACGCACCACTACAGAAAGGCGTAAAATTTTTGGTATATATCACAGGAATTCTTCTACAAATGTTACTTGAAACATTTTCATGTGCTCAGTAATATTAATAGTTGTAATAGTAAGAAGCATTTTTTTCAACTAAAAATGTTCGATTCTCTTTGTGGCACTTTCACAATTGACATCATATATTCTTTATTTTAGTCGTGATATATTTAAAAGTACTTTTATCAATATCTAATTGTAAGAAATCAGACGTTATTCAATAATCAATCAAATATGATCAAAAAAGTACGATTCTTTTGTTTTATATCTTGATTGATCTTTAACTTTAATACATTACAATCTATTAGTTTGCTATAAAATTATAAATTAATAGTGATTAGCTGCTTCGAACGTCAAACTTCTTGGTGCACATCGAAAAGAGCTTAGAATACCATATATTAGGGAGATCGATTCGAAACAAGAGAGCAGAAAAGATATTTTCGAATAATAAATCAGTCTAATAGATCCCAATTAACAACCCAATCACTGTGTTTGATTTTTCCTTCGAGAAAGAGAGTAAGAAAATTTTCTGTTCGTTTTTTTAATTTAACAGACTAGGAGAATTAAAAGAGATTATTCCTTTCAAGAACAATCTATGATAGAGAAGTATTTCATATTGCAATGAAAAGTTTTGGATATTGGTTCCACACTTTTCACGTGATCTTTCTATTTGGATTACTATTGAATATGCAATTCATATTAGATTCATAAGAAAAGCTCGGTAAGATAGAAAAACAATCCTACAATGGTTCGTAGTCCTGGATCTCTGGAACCGACTTATGACTAATTGTTTTACTCAGTTTTTGATGCAGCTTTAGATATTTACTGAAAAATCAAATAACGAAGTTTCGACCTGAAATTACGTCTGTAGATTGACCTGACGACTCTGAGAATCTCTAAAGTTTCAGTTGAAAAGAATATTCTTTTGTCGAGATATTGAATTTCCAAACAATAGTCATCTACCACAAAATCCAGTTTATATGGAAATTCAATAACTCGATAAAGGAACATTCTTTCGACTGAACCTTTCAAAAATTCTCGGAGTCATCAGATTTATCTGTGAGCAGAATTTCAAGTCAGAATTCCTTTGTTTGATTTTTCGGTAAATACCGAAAGCTGAATCGAAAATACAGTAAAACAGAGCCCCATTGTAAGATTTCTACACATTGAAAAGTGTTGAATCGAAAGAACGTTTTAGCCTTCATTAGTATTATATGAAACTGTTCATACAAAACTCGATAACAACTGAACAAAGGCAATCTCATCGATTCTTAATAATGTAAATTCTAGATTCATTTTTTTTTAAATTGAAATCATATCTATCAGATCTCTTTCATCTCTAAATAAACACTACTAGTATGTGAAAAACAGCAAATAAATGCTTTTGTTCGTTTTAAAATTTGTCCACTTTTGCAAATATGGTGAATGAAGATACAAAAATCATATTTTTAAAATAATATAAAACGATACTGATTTACATAAAATCGATAATGACTCATCGAAGTTATGTTGGAAAAAACCTTCTATGACGATATATTATATAAAAGAGGATGTGTTATGACTCATCATTTATCAGTGATTATTTATACAGCAAATTTATTTAAAAATCATAACTTCAAAAATTATCACTGATGTGTAACCATTCTATAAGATTAGAAAATGTTCTTTTCTAAAGGTTTACGTCAAGTTTTTTCAAAAATTAAAAACGATCTTATAAAACTAGTGGTTCTTGTCTACTACTATGGACTTATACTGCATTATTCTGTGTCAAAAATAAATGCTTCGCTATTTTTTTAATTAGTGATTTTAGTCAAATACCAAACAAGAATGCTTTCTTCTGGCAAAACTAATACTAAAAAATTGCTCCTTCTTGGTCATTTCCTTTGAATTGAATTGTTAATAAGTTTTTGTAAAACTTCATTAACATGAGCATTACGTAGTTATCCAAATACGTTTGAAGGGTCAAAATTTGCTCCTTCCTGTAGCTTTTAATGTCGACTATTTTATATTTTGGATTTCAATGATTTTTCGCCTATGGATACTACATAGTGTTTCAATGAAAACTCTAAAAGGATTTGGTTTCTTATTACGATTTGACTACGCTATCGCAGTTTTAATATGTCTATTTTTTTAGAAGTCTCTGTAGGAACCACAATTATTCTCAAACTCATATTTTCGAATTTTGATCTGAAGCTTTTTGCATATAGAAAACTCAACTAGAGTAGCTTCGATAAAAAGTTTAGAAGTTTTGAGCAAAGCTTCTTTCGAGATATGAGATTTTCAATATATAGACTCTTTTCCATGAATAGTGAATGCATTATGTATTTCTTGCAAGCATCAAGTATCAAAAAGACATTGTTCAGCACTCTCTATGCAGAAATTTTCAGATCAAAATCTCAAAATATGAGTTTTGCGAAAACTTTAGATCGTACAGGGGATTCTAGAAAATAAAACTCAATAGTTCAGCCAAGTCTCAATAGAAACTCAAATCCTTTTAGGATTTTTATTAGAACATTATAGAGTATCTATAGAGAAAAAAATCATTGAATACAGAAGGAGACAGCTGAAGAGGTTCCCTCGTCAGTTTATTCGCCTCTCTTTGCTTAACTACTTTTTATATTGTCTATATTTTTTTCTTCTCAGAGCTATTGAAAATAATGATGACTTTTCATGATGTGAGTTTTTTGTTTTCGTTCATGCTCTGACACATTTTTTTGATTAGGCGTAGAAAAAAGCACAGTTAGGATAGTGGATCATCAGAGATATTCCAAAGTGGTTGAGGGCATTGGACGATTGACAGTTTTTGAGGTAAGTAGTCCCTAAAAACAAGCAAAAATGAAGAAAATTTTGTTAATCATTGAACAAAAAACTATTAGACAAAATATCTTCAATTAACACATATTCTCAAAATCTTCGTTTCTCTTTTTAGGTTCACGTTTTTACACAAAATGCGACGTATATGATTAGAAGCTGTTCTATATTTATATTAAATAGTCGAATTTATTAAAATGATTTTTCTTTTTGAACATCTTCTAGTGGATCATCATTACTTGTTCTTCGAACAGAATTGACAACTACCGATTCCTGCTGAAAACAATATATAATATAAAAAATGTTAATTCATATTTTTCAAATTATATTTTACTTGTATTTGTTGTTCAGCCATCCAAACAATGCTATGATTTATCCGTTCAAGCTCACTTTCGATCATTGTCTACAAATATTTGAAAAAAAACGACGTCCATCTTCAATATAAAATAAACACATACATTCATAATTAATCAAGTTTCTATCTTTATCTGAGAGTTGATTGGTCAATATCTAAGAACAGCTAAAATATGTATGTATGGAATTAGCCAATGAATACTTACATATTATATCAAATGCATGACACGATGTTATAGAAGTACAATAAGTCAACGACCAATTAAATTATTAATCGTCTCAAAAAAGAACATAAAAAATCTAAATAGATTCTAATGATAACGGAAATAATGAATGATTCAGCAGCAGACCTAGGATTCTGAAAGGGAGATACTTTTCAAAGAAAGGAGCTCTTTAGGGCTTATGCGAGATTCATTTTTCTAGAAAACAAACGCCCAATTGTCTTCCTCCTATTTCCAATACGTGAACGACATGAATTTTCACCACTGAGACGATTTGAATCTATTGACTAGAGAAAAATTG